AGATTATTTTCCTTCAAGGAAGGAAGGAAGGAAGGAAGGAAGGAAGGAAGGAAGGAAGGAAGGAAGGAAGGAAGGAAGGAAGGAAGGAAGGAAGGAAGGAAGGAAGGAAGGAAGGAAGGAAGGAAGGAAGGAAGGAAGGAAGGAAGGAAGGAAGGAAGGAAGGAAGGAAGGAAGGAAGGAAGGAAGGAAGGAAGGAAGGAAGGAAGGAAGGAAGGGAAGGAAGGATGGAAGGAAGGGAAGGAATGGAAGGGTGAATTCTTAGATCTCTCCATGTGTTCTGAATTATCTAATCTGTCTTTATGGCTTCAGTTAGAACAATCAGTTTACTTAAAGATGAAAATTCAATAAATTCGTGTTAAGAAATAATCGTTTAAGAATATTCCTGGTAATTTTCTAAATCTATTTTATAATTTATGTTTATATTTACGAAGGAGGACGTATTAAAATAGTTCAGGAAGGTAGGGAAATTAATTTTGATATTTAAGGAAAGCAAAAGGAACTCTGGAAAATCATTTCAATACTATTATACATTCTATCTTAAAAAATATTAATTTATATAAAATTGTATCAAAGAATAATAGCAATTACAAAAAAAAAATATATTATCAAAAATGATTAAATATGATTAATAAACAGATGTATTCTTCCACTACAAAACCCTCATTTAGCAAGATTAAATTATTTGATCATAAATTCCCGGAAAATTTAGTTCTCACATCTAACTATTTTAAAAAATAACATTATGCAAGGGGAGTAACTCATAAAAAGATCTCAATCTTTTTGTTATAATTAATTAGCTTAGGGAATTTAAGGTGGTAGAGAGATTGTTTCTCTTGTACGCATTGAAAATGAGACAAGTACAAGTATACATCCTTAAGCTCGATTTCAACAATGCATTCAACTGTTTTAACCATTCCTATAATTACCAAAATTTTCCCCTCTCTAAAATTACAAATTAGTGATCTGCATGGGGCCTAATTTTTCCAGCCCGGCTCGGCCCGAACCCGAACTATTTAAAAGGTTTCGCCAGCCCGTCAAAATAGAAGACCTATATTATATGGCGTTGTCTAGTTTATATAAATAAAATCAAATATTTTTATTATACTTAAAAAAAATCGAAATAAAATTGATAAATTTAGATATATTTAATAATATTTCCGTGGCCCGACCCGACCCCGAATTTTCTTTAAAAATATTAGGTTCTGTCCGAAGCACTTGGCGTCGAGTACGGGCCGGGAATGGATTAATACAACTTAAGATTAAATATTTGATATAAAGATGATGGAATTATTGCAGAAGTTTGTTCTAAGTTTGTATAAATGTACTTGCTTCCATTGTAGCCTTCTAATAAAGATTCAGTTTTTTTGGAAATGTAATGATTACCAATCGGACAAACATTTGAAGGGAAGTAAAATTAGATGAAAAATTTGCTCCAGGCCTTAAAATGGGCAAACATACCGTTAACAATTGAACACTGTAAGAATAAACCTGTGGGATAAGAAATGACCTGATGGATGTATCTCTCTTCGCTATCTGGCCTCTCGCCATGGACTACTCGTGAATAGACATATTTGCAGCATGAAATAATAACAACATTTTCCCATTCCTGAACTAATAAATTAATTAAATACTTTCTTTCTAATCTTGATTTGATCCAGTTAACATAGCAACTATTTGGGTAACTTTTAAAAATTCTTCATAAGGACGAATGCTATTTCTCTACATAGTTGAATCTCGATTAGATAATTTAATATACAAGTTGAGTATCTTGTAGAGATTTTATTAATGTGTAATTGTGATATAAATATTGATAAGGTAATCTAAAAAAGGAAGGATTGTGAAATAAAAAGTTTCATTCATATTTACAAAGTTGAGGTAATATTGTTTTTATCAATTCAAAGATGATTTTTCAAATCTCTCAATCCATGTTAGGTATGTTTACACCAACAATTCTCGAAATTCCATTCATCTGTTCTGTTTGTATAAAATAAATATATAAAATCAACAAATAAAAACAAATACGTACCGATGTGAGACATAACGTAGCGATGACATGACGTAGCGATGACATGACATAACGATGACAAGCAAGACGTCACGATAACGTAGTGAGGACATCGGAAAATTATAATATAAATTATATAACTTTTAAAATAGAAGAAATGTGTATATTTGGGGAGTCGTTATGCATGCATCAATGAACAGGAATAATATATTTTAAATCATATGTATTTAAGGTCGAATTTAAGGTCAGACAATATATTTTTTAAGGAATTATACGTGATTTCTGAAAGGAATGACTGCAAGAAAAATAAAAAAAATTCATCTGAATTCCTAAAGCTCATAAAATAACGCCTAAAATTAATATAAGGAAATAATTCATTTTTTAACGCAGGACTACAAGAAAATTTATTTTAATTTAATCGATAAGTTTAGGAAAGATGTTCTCTATTTTCTTTATGTTCGCAAGATTCCTAGCAAAACTATTTAAAAAAATTTTTTGACTCCGAATTGCATATATAACCTTGTTTAGAAAATCGATTGAAAATATTAAAAACTTTAATCTTTTAGTACAGTTTCCAAACTCTGGATATTTTAAAAATTTTATTTCTAACTACTAAATTTTACAAAATAAATTTTTATTTTGTTTAAAGGATACCATTTATGACAATCAATTGATAATCCGTAAATGTAACTTTTGATTAATATATATACAAATTATTGTGATCTTTTGTTAAAAAATAAAATTATATTTGATTCTTATTGAACCGTTTATATTTTAAACACCACATAGGACTTTAACGCATTCAGTGCTGTCTCTTAGGCTTACCTTTTGACATTGCCAGAAAGGCGGCGTAAGAAAACGCAAAAATTGACATGTAAAATACTGGAAGTTGTTTAAAATAGAAGGAGTTTTTTTAGTAATACTTTAAATTAATTTCTATAAAACATTATTAAAAATTAAACATTAGTCGTAAAAACTTAATATAGTAATACCAAATAATATGAACTAATTTAAAGAATAAGATTTTAAATTTGTATATTGTATATAATAAAAATAGCCATAAAAACCAAATAAATATAAATAAGAATTATTTTTATAAATTATTTTTTTTAAAAAAAAATTATTTAAAAATTTTGAGATGAAGGATAGTGTTGTTTAAACGGCTAGTTTTAAGCCGATTTCTTTAAAACGGCTAACTAAGTTTTTTTATCCAGAAAAATATTACCCAAGCCTGAAAATTTTCCTCATAAAAGGAGCAAAGGTCTAACATATAGTATCGAAATTTCGAGACAGTCGATTCTGGCGAAAATATTGAAACTAGCCGTTTAACAACATTAATATAGGAGATTTATTTCGCGATCTAGAAATTTTTATCAAGTGAATATAATATCTAAGAAATCTCCATTTTTATCAATTTTTCAAAAACTCAATTTTGAAGTATAAATTTATACATTTCTATAGAATCTCTTAACATTATTTTGTAAATTGTATAAGAAATTTTTCTTTCTGCTTTTTATTCATTCTCTCCTAACAAAAAAAATTTTTTGATTTACAAAAATAAATTTATAAAATATATATTTCTTCTACTTATTTTCCATTACTGTCTGGATTCCTAGCCCCGACAGGTACCATCACCCCTCTTTGATTAAATGGGCTCTGACAGTAGGGTTCCTGTCAATTAGTGGATTCAGCTTTATCCCCGAGAGGTATCATCATCCCTCTTTGATTAAATGGGCCCTGACAGTAGGGTAAATTACTGCCAAACAGTTAATGCAAATCCACTTCACTGGATAGGCCCTCTCATGGAGTGTTGAAAGTCACTAGTGTGTTTCCCCAGTGAAGGACAAGACAAGACAAGACAAGAATATGTAAGACGAGAAATATAAAGTCCTCACATATTTTTTATGATCAGTAATCGTTGATGCTATTAAGCACGTTTCGCTTTATTTATTTTTTAATTATATTATTAATTCAGATATGTCCATAGCTAATAATATCCAGTTGAATGTAACTTATAACTCTTGATAGGCTAGTCTAGGCCCTTGGGGATCAATAACTATTACCAACACATAATATATAATAACTAATTGATATATCATTTGATTATAATAATAGTTTTCACTCTTAGTTTAATAATAGATTGGATTTCATTCGAGATGGGAGAAGGGGAGGTGGAAAAATAAAAATGTTTTAATGGGTATTTAATAAAAAAAAAGGTAATTGAATTAACTTTTTGATCGCGGTAAATATAATCCCGGAGATGGCGGATGTGGATTTATAAGAATTAATAGCTCATTTGTATTTCTTAATGACTTAAAATTAGGGTTACTAAGGTAAATCTACACACAGGCCACAAAATTCGGATATTTTTCTTAAAGTTATCTTATTTAATATTTTTTTAAAAAAATGATGAGGCTGAAGGTAATAGTATTTGACTAATAACTGAGTTTGCCCCATTTATTTAAACAAACACAATTATATTTAGAGCGATTTTTAAAAAAATGTATAAATCTGACAAAAAATATATATTATGACATCTATTATAATATGAAGGAAGTAAAGAGAAATATATATTTCTTTTTCACGTTTTTTCAAAAAAAAAAATGCAAGTTGCACGTATAAAAATCTCAACTGATCATTTATAGGAATCGTAAATTTTGGAATAACCTAAAAATATTCTTTTTTGATAATAATATTTAAAAAAAAATAATGATATGTGTGCTAATGAATGCCAAACAAACCCAAAGTTTAAATGTAAAATTTTATAATATCAATAAATTATCATCAATTTTCACAATTGTTTTTTCTTTTTTCTTTTTCCTTTATAACCATTATCCATTTACTATTGAAAATGAATCACGCGATTTCCATCTGACGACAGTGAAGAATATATTCTAGAACCTTTTATTAATAATACTTTATTACATATATAAAAAGTAAACCTACCATAGTTTTTATCAATTTTATTAAAAAATAGTAAAAATTTAAATTCATCCTTAAAACAACCAATCAGATTTTAGCGATTAACAATCTAAAATCTCCAAGAATCTCGTTTTATCTCTATTATATTAATATAAAAATGAAATCATTTATTGCAGTTATGTACCATTGAATTGTAGGAGATATGGTTCTTCATCTAAGTTTACCATGTTATAACAAAATAAACGAAAAAGAATGATAATTTAAAACCTCTATAAGATGTAATCGTGACCTCCTCTATGACTAAAATATCAATATCATAGAAATTAATTAATTAGGAATATTTTATGAAAACCTGGTATTCTCCATGTTCTGCTTCCTGAGAAGAAAAAAAAATATTAGATTTGTTGCGACATTTAATATGGCATCATATAATAATTCTAACTTTGCACCTTGTGAGGAAATCGCAATACCTACTATGTTTAATCTTTTTTACCCTGACATCTAAGATAACCTTGTTTTCTCATATTATTATTGAGTGCAGGAAAGAAAAGTTGGAATTTTAAAAAACATTGCTTGTTGTTTTATGAGAAATGGAGTGATAATAAGTATAGTTAAAAAGAGGGGCATTATAATGATGTATCTGGCAAAAATTAATCTAAGTCATAGAATCAAAATGATGGTAAAATTGTATATATAAAGAAAGGTAGGGGTAAATGTTGACAAGAACGATTATTGGCGTTTAAAAATAAAGGGAGGTTTATTAGACTAAAGACTGTAACAAAATGGTGAAAAAAAAATTAATATCAAACTTATTTATTCGATATGTATTTATATTGATATTTTTAACATTAAATATTACCTATAGATATTATTAAGGTACCATTTACATCCACTATATATCGATTTATAACACAATTAAATATTCTTTATTATAATCTATAAGACAATAGAAACCCAAAAGATAGAATATATGGGTATGGAACAAAATATGATTTAACTAGTTTTTAAACGGAATAGAAAATTGTTTTAATGTTATTTTTTTTTACTTAGTCTTTTTTCTACTAAAAATTTCAAATAATAATTATTTTTGTATATATATATAATCAAATATTATTAATTATAATGATATTTTTATATAATAAGTATTTGAATTAGCATTAAAATTATAACCATGTATTTATTTATAAAAGGGCAAATCATATATGTAAAAGGTACTAAAAAAATGAGTAAAATAATACAACGAATAATTTAAAAAAGCATCTAAATAAATAAATTTAAAAAAGGAAAGAATGATAACATGGAATGGGATAAAGTGGCAAAACTCCAGAAAGATTCTTTCTCGAGGGAAAAAATCTTTTATTGTGATTTCCGAATCGAAACATAGAATAGTTTGAGGATTAGGTAATCCTATTAATCACACTTTTTAAGATGTTTGGTCATTTAGAAGCTATTAAATCTAAAATCCCTATTGATTAGAGAGTAGAGAAAGGTATTTTTTTTAAAGGCTTGGACAATATTATTTATTGCCTGATTGAGACGGAAGTCGAACTCATAATATTGGGTAAGCTGTCTTTGCTATGTCTAACCTCGCTGGTCAAAATTTGTGCTCATTATTAGATATGCTATGAGAATGAAAACTTGATTTTGTTCTCTGCTGGGAAAAGGAACAAATATTAGAACTCTAGAGATTGCTTTTATAGTTCATTATCTCTAAAAAACGATGATAAGGTAAACATCGAATAACAGGAATAATGAATAAATATCTAAGTTTTTTGTCATTTGAAAATGTTGTAATTGTGTATTTTTACATTAATATAACTTTATAAAATATTCAATGTCAATCAAATAATTTTATAATGTAGACAAGTAAATTATATATAATCTACTTATGACAATATTATCTGATATGCCTGTGAGACAATAAGAGAATGTCAATCACTATGGTTTAGAGAGATGAAAGTGATGACCGAAAAACCAACTCCTTTGTTTGTATAAAAGTTATAAATATATGTATTATTAAAAATATATTTTGTTCTATTATAGTTGAATTGGTAAATAAAATATATAGTCAAATATTTTAGAAAGGTCTTAATATTAATTGAAGATGCAGTTTATTTATTTAAAATTTTATTTTATTTAACTAAATACCTATATTTTTATCATTAAAAATATATAAAAAATTTAAAAAATTGCAATCAACCTTTATATCGTCCTCCTTAGCGCCAAGGATATTTTTTAAAAAAAAATTGTTTAGGATAAATTAGCATCTATAGAGTTTTAAAAATTATTTCATACTTATATCCACACTGAACCAACTAATAGATACTATTTTATATTATTGAAGATTAAATGCATATATATATATATATATCGTGATATGATAAGGAAATAGAAATTTGAGCATATGGTACTAGGCAATGACATATAATAAATACCAAGACTCACGATGCATTCATAATAATGCATTTGAAAGCGTCGTTGAATGCAAGTCAACTTATATAGTAAAACTTTAATATTTAAATTGATAACTTGCTTTCCTTATTATCTCGATGATCAGGCAATTCTTAAATAAAGTTTGGGTAAGACATAGAAACGAATTGGCCTCTTGTTTAAAATTTTTGATAATGATATGGGTAATCATAATGGCGTCCCCAACTGTTTTTCATTGATGTAGTTACACTTTTTATGAATTAGGTCAATGACATATATAATACCTAAACTGAAGATTCATTCATTAAAAGTGTACATCTATACAAATCAGCTGGAGACGGCATGGTTACACTAATCATTATTAAAATTTTAAACGACCTATATCTGATGCAGACTTTAGTAAAGAATTACCGGATCATCGGGATAATAAGGAAGCAAGTTATCAATTTAATAGTAGTTTTTAACATGAGAATAATTACTATATGTGTTACCAAAATGGCGGGTCCAGCTGATTTGCTTTTAACGACGCTTAAAAATGCATTTTAATGATTGAATCGTCAGTCTAGGTATTATATATGTCATTGGTCTAGGTATAATTATATGTCAATGGTACTGTGGCAATCTATCTTAGCAAATTATATTTTACCAAGAGTAAAAATGAACTTTGTACGTAGTAATTAATAAATAAATAAATATATATATATATATATATATTATATATATATTATATATATATATTATATATATATTATATATATATATATTATATATACACAATTTTTTACCACTTGGTCTCACTTTTTGTACTTAACATAATTTTTTAAAACAAAAATTGCAATATTTTTTTTTGTTTATAATTTTAAATTATTATGTGTTATAACTATACCTAAGTTGACTTTGAGACTTTGAGATATTAATCCTTTTGCATTAAAATATAATGTTATCATTCAGTTTTGAAACAATTAATGTTATCAGCCTCGATTTAGTTTTAAATAAATCAGTTAAACAAATATTAACCACGAATTAATAACTCTTATTAAATCCAGATTTTTCTAACAATATTAATATTATACTATACATATTTGTAATTATATATATAATTATTAACTCACTTAAACTGACCCATAATTTTGAATCTTGAGTTTTATCGTATATTTTTTATAATAAATTTAGTAAAATGTTAAAGTAAAAGAAATTTTTATCATAAAAAATTGGGGAGATGAGTGTGTATAGTGTTGTTAAATGGCTAAATCAATATTTTAGCCAGCAAAACATTGACTGAATACCTCGAGATTTCGCTAATTAGTGTTGTTAAATGGCTCGTTTTGAGCCGATTTTTAAAAACGGCTAACTCTATATTTTAGCCAGAAAAATATTGCCTAAGCCTTGAGATTTCGATAATATATGTATAGACCTTTGTTCCTTCTATGAGCAAGATCTTCAGGCTTGCGTAATATTTTTCTGGATGAAGTATTGAGTTAGCCGTTTTAAAAAATCGGCTCAAAACGAGCCGTTTAACCACACTATCGCTAATAGATGTCCAATTTTTTTTAGCCATGTATGAAATTTTTTAGGCCTGCGTATAACATTTTTTCTGGATAAAATATTGAGTTTAGATATTTTTTTTTTAAAAAAAATACTACTCAAATCGTGTTAGGGTCTAACCAATGACATATATAATACCTAGACTGACGATTCATTCATTAAAAGTGTACATCAATGCAAATCAGCTGTAGACGCCATCTTGGTTACACTAATCATTATTAAAATTTTAAACGAGAGCCTAATTTATTCCTATATCTGATGCAAACTTTATAAAAGAATTACCGGATCATTGAGATACTAAGGAAACAAGTTATCAATTTAATAGTAGTTTTTAACATGAGAATAATTACTATATGTGTTACCAAAATGGCGGGCACAGCTGATTTGCTTTTAACGACGCTTAAAAATGCATCTTAATGAATGAATCGTCAGTCTAGGTATTATATATGTCATTGGGTCTAACAAATATAATAAAATAAATACCTATACTTTCGATGAAATAATTTGGGTCCTTTATGTATTCTAGAAAAAAAAGAAGAAGAAAAAAAAATATAGAAATTATTGATGCAATTGCTCCATTTTGAGTCTATTTTTTGAAAAACGGCTAATGCAATATTTTATCCAGAAAAATATCAAGCAACCCTGAAGATTGTAGATGGCACAAAGGTTTGACATCTATTAGCGAAATCTCCCGAGGCTGAAACAATATTTATCTGGGCTAAAATATCGAGTTTGCCGTTTTTAAAAATCGGCTCTAATAATAGAGATTTTTCATTCACTAATTAAAATTATACTATTTTTTAAAAATTATTTGTTTCTTATGTCTATTTAATCCTAACAGACTTAACGAATTTTTTAAAGTCATATACATTTTCCTAACCCCTTTTTTTTCATTAAAGTGTATTATATTATAATCGAAAGATTTTTCATAAAAGTTAGTTTTATTAAGAGTAGATTATCTCGGATAAAACATACGAGATTGTAGAAAACTGTTTTTTTTTATCACTTTGCGCTAAATAACAAATTTTTGTTATTTTATCATATCATAATTTTAAAAATAAAAAATGATAAAACACTAAAATATTAAAACAACTATATAAAAATATGTAAAAAATATATAAAATTACTAAATAATATATATATATTATTAGTATCGAAGGCTCTAAAAAAAGAGCTTAATTTAATAATGAAAATGCACCTAAAAACAAGTATAATTGTGTTTAAAAATTTCCAATTGAAGTTTTTGTTTAAGCTATAAGGATTCGCGATTTTCGTTTGTTATGCTAATAATTTTTCGTGATAACGTTTTTTTAAAAATATATATATGTAGACTGTGAAAAATTGCCGTTAGTTGAAATGACTATTGGCTGGAATATAAAGTTGTTTAATTTTGAATATTTATTAATATTATAAAGTTTCAATTGTTCCTTTTTTTTATTACTATACAAAGGCAAGGACTGAAAAAATAGTTATCTAGTTTATTTTTTTTAAAGTTTTTTTATTTTTTTGTGATTATGCAAAAAATAAATTAAAATGAACTGTGTTATAAATCTTAAGTTTCATTAATTAACATTGAAGAGAAGAGAAGAGAAGAGAAGAGAAGAGAAGAGAAGAGAAGAGAAGAGAAGAGAAGAGACCGCATTCTACCTCCCCTCCCCTGATGTCTCGTTAGGATCACGATATAAACGTTTATATATATATTTTTTTTAAAAATATAAGAAACTATTATCTTGTAAATCGAAGTTTATTACCGTATATCGTATGTGGCACAAATTCTATTAGTCGATTATTATATTGTAAATTTATAAATAAATCAATTTTAAAAAATTAGAAGAAACCTGGTTGCATATACTTAAAATTACCATCTATCAAGTAATATTTATATAAAATAAAATTATATATATATATATATATTTTCCTCAAATCAGGTATTCAATCAAATGACATATTACCAATCAATCGATTAAAAAAATTACTTAAAAAATTCACGATCAAAATTTTCTGATAGATATTTGTATTTTTTACCGCATAAATATTGGAATACATTTTTTTTTGTCAATATCATCATATTAATAAAAAAATAAAATAAATACTTTAAAACCTAGTGGTTTTTAACTTTAAATTAAGATTTTTAGCCAAAATAATACTAAGTAAGACTAGAGATTTTGTTAATCTCTATACCCCTCTACCAGATATGAGCAAAATATGCAGAGCTGCGTAGTATCTTTTGGCTATAGTATTGAGCTGGCCGTTTGTAAAAAATGGAAACAGTATTTAACAACACTATTTCAAACATGTGTTTTGGCCCATTTACCAACTATAAATTTTTGATTTAGCGCCTTTTATAAAATTTAATACTATTATCTTAATAAAATACACGATGATTGGAAAGGCAATAAACAGACCGGCTGATTACGCCATTTTAGGGTTAATGATGCTTGGTACCTTAAGGTACCATCTATCAAATTTGAATTTTATTTATTTTCATTTGGATAGGCACTACCAAATATATTTATAATATATATTTAAAAAATCGTAATTTTTGGAAAGCCTCTATGGCCTAAGAGCTTCGCTTACTCATCCCATGGTCACGGGTTCGAATCCCGATAATAATTATCTTTTTTTCTTATTCTAACTTGGTGGTTCCATCCTTGGGGGTATGATATATAGGAGGCCGGACTCGACCACATGATTCCATATTAATATATTAAATAATAAGACTTATTACATTTTAATAAATTTTGGTCGGTATTTAGCAAATTATGTTGGTATTTAGAATATTTCCATACATTCACTTGGTAGTAAGCATCATTAACCCCATTTTAGCTGTTAATATATTAATTATATTTTTTTTTGTAGTATAACTTTCTTTTACGCAAGTAATATTGACTAAAGAAATAAATATTTTTAAATGAATAAATAATATAAAAAATATAAACAATAAACATTGTCTATTTTAAATTTTAAAAGATGTTTACTATGACCAGGTGAGCAAAATATCGTTTTACCTAGAGGATATTTTTATGATTATAAAATAAATCGATTAAACTAATTAAAAAAAATTTTAATTAGCAGTTTTTGTTACTCACAAGATTTGTAAACATTCCCAGGCCGAAAAAAAATTTATTTTGGGCTCATAATTTTATATTAATTCAATATAGGGGAGACCGGGGTTGGTTTTATCCCAAGGCCAGGTAATTTTTTTCTCAAAAATAATTTTTTAAGACTAATAAACTTTGACATTTTTGGAATTTATAAACCATAATTATTATTTAATGAGACGCGCGCTTTCAATTGGTTCTTAGAAAATATGATTGGCAGAAAATTATGCTTAAGAAAAAAAAATTTGATTGGCAAGTTTGAATTGTAATAGGAAGCTTTACCCACATTAGAAAAAATTGCTAGAAACTCATTTTTGATTTCCTATAAAACAAGTCTAAAACCCAATCATTAAAAAATGATTGGAGAATAAATCGTCCAATCGTAAACCTCCACCTATTCTAACAAACTTATTTCTTCTTAAACCCGTAAAATATTAGTGTTGCTATATAAACCAAAATTTAGGGACATTCAAGCCAAAATATTATTAAAGCATCTCGAGATTGTATATAGTTGGAAGAAAAATTTATTCCATCTTGTTACCAAATTTCGTGGCTTTAAGTAAAATTGATTTTAGGGTTAAAATAATGATTTAGCCGTTTTTATTTTAAAAATGTACCATAAATCGAGGGTTATCGATAAAACATAACTTTAAACTCATTTTTTGTAACAAAATGATATATGATGACTTACTGTAAAACCCGTCTAATTAAAAAAAAATATTCAAATGCACATTTTTTTGGCATAGTTGGGTTCATACTCTAAGAACTCGTTAGCAAAAATCTAATAGAAATGTCTCATTTTATCATTATCGCTACCTTTGTTTTATTTTATAATCAGATACAAAATATACAGCCAAAGTCAAGACTTCGAAAACATTAAGAGAATGGCAACAAGATATTAAATTTTAGTGATTCTTTATGGGGAATGATAATATAATAATAATAATAGGTAGTAAATACTTGACGATTCAACAACTGGTATAATAATAAATTTAAGAAGGATATTTTTTAATAAAATGTTATAAGAAATATATAAGTTATATTTAAAAAAATTATTACCTTTAATTCTATGGAAAAATATAATCATGGATGATAGAACAGCTAAAATATATTTATTCATATTTTGCATAGATAAATTTTTTATGAACGTAATTTTCTCAAATATACAAATTTAATTAACAAAAAAATGATAAATAATAAATTATCATATTTGGACTAAATTTGAGTAAAGTAGTTAAAAACGAGGTTAAAATCTAACAGCCTTCGAAGAAGTTGTTTCATAAAATTTTTTTTAATTTATAAAAAAATTAATTATAATTTTGAAAAGCTGGTAGAAGCGTTTATTCTTGTTTAAAAATACATTTTATTTACAACCAATTTTCTATTAATTTTCTTTTTAAAATTATTTGAATTTGGTATTGATGAAGATTCATTAAAAATATATTGTATTGTATTTTATATGTATTAGCTGTTTTTGATTACTTAATTGCTTCTTAATTGAGGCTAAACAGTTTTTAAACCCCGTTTTTGATATGTTTTTTAAGTATTTTGGCGTATTTATTTTCAAGTTTCTGATTTTTAAAGAAATTTTCCCGAAAAAACGGTTTACAAATACTTTGACCCAAATAACATCACTAGAAGGGGTCAGGGGCATGGTCTAGAGTCCCCCAAAAATTTGAAGAGTCAATTGAAACCTTTATGTATTTTAGAAAATTAGTATTATTAAACCACCTAACTTTAGTCAACTATAAAGCAGCACCAAAAATATTCGTATCAATCTTCAAGTTGAGACTCAAATTAGAGGCTTAATTCAATTTTTTAGGCTAAAATATTGACTAAGCTACAATAAAGATCGTCAATGTTAGGTAATTTAACAACACTATAGAAAAAAAACTTAATAAAATGAGGTCCTAATAAGTTGAGACTTGGGAGATTGAAATGGCTAATGACGTCAACTCCTTCGATATTTTCGATTAAAAGGAAAAAATCATTTACAGTGTTGTTAAAATCCAGAGTTGTTAAAAGATACTTTTTAAATGGATCTAGATACAGATACATCGTCTAAAATAATATCTAGATACCAATATTTTAATCAAAAATCTATCTAGAGACAGATACATATACAGATACCACATTTTTATATCTATAGATCCTTTAACAACTCTGTTAAAATCCATCCATATAATGGTATTTTGTTTGCGAAAAATAAATTAAAATATAGACAATGAATTATCGAGATTTCTTTTTATTCCTCACCTTGTGTTATTTTTTTTTTTTTTTCTTTTCACAAGCAAAATATTTTTATATGGATGGGTAATTTTATTCTTGAACATGATTCATTAAATCATCACAACATTATATATATATATATACATGTTAAAAATATAATATATATATCAAGCATATTTATATCAGATAACTTAAATTAATACAATAAAAAGGGAAGATAAACACACATGAAACTAAAAAAGAAAAGAATTTATACATTTATGAAGTAGATAATATGTTTAAAATGGAAGTATGAAATTGGGATAAGGGTAAAAAGTGCTGCATTTTAGTTGAGCACAGATTAACATTATGCTTTTACTTTTTTTGCTAATTTTGGATTGTAAAAATTTCTCTCCACTTATAAGAGCATATGAGGATATTTTGTATACTATGTTAAGAAATATATTTCTTAGCATATTTATTAAAAAAAAAATTCCTTCCTTTTCACTTTTATGAACCTAGCTCATTTTTAATAAAATGAGATGAAAACAATATTATTAAGATTTTTTTCTCTTAAGAAAGGCACAAAGAAAGAAAGAATAAAAGAAGGAAGGGTGAAAGGAAGGAAATATCTAATTCATCAAAAAGTGGTGAATTCTTACAGATCTCTTCTTGAAGTATGTTCTGAATTATTTAATCTGTCTTCATGGCTTCAGATAGAACAATCGGTTTACTTAAAGTTGGAAATACAATAAAATGATTCGCGTTCTGAAATAATCGTTAAAGAATATGGCTGACATGTTCTAAATCTCTTATTTATATTTACAAAAGAGAACTTCTGAAAGTGGTTTTTCTGGTATCAAGGGAAATCATTTCAATACTATATTAAATTATACTGGTTTATCTTTTTCAGCTATCTTAAATAATATTGAATATTTATAAAAAAAATGACTGGCTCTAGCAGACCTTCACATTCATTATGGGTAATAAAAAATTATGCAATTTTGGTTTCGATTCAATCTTATTTATAAGTACTGTTTTCACTTAGTGATTGTCATTATGATCGGTTATATGCAAGTCTTATGATAAAATATATTTTCAACATTAGATAGTCTCCTCTCAGTCTATGGAATTTATCTTTACATATTACAAAGTGACTGAGAAGTCACGGGTCTGCAGACGATGACCAATCAAGGAAGCGTATGGTATTAATTATTAAAAATATTGAAAAAAAGATTCGCTATTCACTAATATTGTATTATTTTTTTTGTTCACTATCATATTTTGTAAAGTGGGCAGATTTTTTAAATTTATAGTCCATTTGCGTAAGAACTTTTATAAAGGAGGTATTTGTTGTTTTTTTTTGCTGCATTAATTCATTTATATTATCAGGGGCGTCACTAGCTTTTACAATCAGGGGGATCTACTAAAAAAATTTTGGGGAGCGAAACCCTCCATACCTCCTAATTTGCGGGGACCTTCGAACGTGTTATACTTTTTTGATTGAAATTTAAAAACTCAGAACAATTATTCTGAATTTCATATTTGGCATTTGTTAAGCGTACAAAGAATGAAGGTAAAACAATACAAAACACTTTTCTAAATATAATATTTTTTAATATAAAATAAAATATTTAACCATTTATTAAAATATTAAATATTTGAGTCTGAAATTACAAGTGATAAAAAAAGGTTAACCTCATTTGATAATGGTTTTTAAAAACTACACAAGGCAGTATAATTCTTAGCAAACTAACATTGATAAAGGGTCATTAAAAATATACCGTTGTAAACGTTGTGTTAATATTTTAAATCATTTATTCTTGAAGAAGAGTAAATGAACGACTAATCCAAATCATAACACTATATGGTGGATATACCTAGATGACATTATGGAAGCTAAATAAGTAATCGAGAAAATTATTATGAGATATTAAATTTCCAAAAGAGTATCTTCTCTTATTTAATTATATATAAATGACGATACAGTTTGCTATTATAGCTTAACTTTAATTACGCGATCAAATGATCTCAACAATATGAGTAATATTCTTAAATTACATAGCTGCACAAATAATAAATGCTGGTTAATTTGAAATAATAGCCATGAAACTCACTATGTAAACTCATATCAGAATTTGTTATGTTATATAAATTGATAAAAACACAATTATGCAAAGATATTGAAGCCTTGAGTTATTACACGGTAAGGATGTCATTAGAAATGAATCCTTTAGTAGCGATATAATAAGGACCAGAGTGATATAATGAAAGCAATTAAGATTTTATATATTTTTGTCGCACCACCTCTAGTTGGTATATAATGTCTTAAAATAATAGTAGTTTTTTAAATATATCAAAAAAAATTCTCGTAAGGATTATATCAATTAAGGGATGAATAATAAAATGTTTAATTTTTATAATAATAATTATTTAAAATAAATAGTAGGCGTTAAAGAATTGAATGCAAATTGTTACTTATATTTATAAGTGTAAATGTATTTAAATAAATACATTTTTTATATTCGCTTAAAGATACAATTACAATTTATAAAAATAGAAAAACATATATATAGCTGATAATATTAAATTAATCACTTTACAATAAATTAATCAAATCATTTCATTTGGCGACGACGAATTATTTAAAATTAAAAGGATTAAAATTATACCATGCCTCTGAAGAAGATTGAAGAACATACTCAATTTCATATTCCAGAATTTGTCAAAGAAAAAGTTAATATTCAGGATTACCTATATAATATAGAACTCATTTTCAAGGTAAAAAATATTTTCGATGAAAATAAAAAAAAAGGATCTTTTATTGGCCTATAGAGGCACCGAAAATTTAATTAAAATCAAAAATTTTTATTTTCCAAATATTTTAAATAATATAAATTATTTAACTTTAATCGAGAATCTAGAAAAAATTTTAAAGGATGTCTCTAGCATTTTTCTTTATAGGAATAATTTTTTTTACATTAAAAAGAAATAACGGAAGTATAATTGACTCTTCAATTAAATTAAAAAGCATTTGCGCTTTATGTAATTTTAAATCGCCGGTTGATGAACTCTTAAGGGATATTTTCATCTTAGGAGTAGGGTTACCCGAGCTGGACAAAGAACTTCGGTCAAAATATGCCGAAGGAAATATTACTTTTGAAGATAATGTGCGTCTAGCTATCGCGCTGTCTTGATTGGAGTAGAAAACCCTGACAGAAGTTAATAAAATAATTAAACATAAGCCTATGCAAGGTTCCAAAAATACTTATTCGAGGAATAATTATAACAACGTAAACAAATTCAATAATAATAATTATAATGCTAACAAATTTAACAATAATTTTTATAAACCAAGTTTTAAACCTAATTTCAGTCAAAAAAAAAGTAATATGTTTCCACTGATCCAATGTCGTCCTAAGCGACCTTCCAAACATCATCTCGGCAGGAGATTTACCAGTAGTTGCATTGGGAGTATTACGGTGAGTAATTAAAACAATTCGCTAAATTTAACTGGTCCGGAGTCCCACATCTCCTTCCAGCATAGAAACGCGTCTTTATCGTCCGTATATATCGTTCAGCCAAACCATTCGATTTGGGGCTATAAGGGGCCGATCTAAAATGTTTTATATTGTTTTTAAAAAGAAACTTTTTGAATTCAGATCCAGTAAACTGAGTACCGTTATCTGAGACAATGTAGCGAGGTAACCCAAATCTAGCGAAATAATTACGCAGATTATTTATTACACTCGTCGAATTTATATGTGTTAAAATTGCAACTTCAACCCATTTGGTAAAAGCGTCTACGCAAATTAACCAATATTTTCCAGATACGGGGCCTGTCAAATCAATGTGTAATCGTTCCCAAGGTCGGGTAGGAATGTTCCAATTGTATAATGGCACTTCTTTAGCTCCCGGCCTTCCTTCTTGA